ATAGGCAGAGTCTTAGTGTCGAATAATTTTTCTTCATTTCTTGAATTAATATATAAATTCAAGGCAAATGATTATATTGCGAACCGTGTATTGTTATAATTATTAAATGTGCAACATAGTTCAAGGCTAGATTCCTCCTTAGATTTCTCTTTTTTAATAAATTGTAAAATAAATTGTAATAAATTGTAAAATCGATTAATCCCTTATTCCAAAATTCTTATTGCGGAAAATATCACCTCAACCAGGAATCAGTCTGAATCATTCATTTTCCGTACAAGTGTCTTAACCATTCAACCAAAGTTATTATTATTATTATTATTATTATTATTAATTTTTTGTTTTTATAACATTCAAACATATGAAAAAAAAAAATTCAAGAAAATATACTCTGGAAATATGAAAATAACGTGAAGCGAGGGCAGAGAAAGAATGTATACTCTGCGTTGTGGAAAAAGGTAAATTAGGAAAAAAGATTTTGCCGCAGCACATTATTCGTATTATTATTACTTCAGCTTTTGTTACCGGTATTCTATCGCAAACGTTGCGATAAAAGAGATATAAAAGTCTTCGGCACGTGTCGATAACAAAAGAAATTCGATGAGAAGCCGTGAATGTGTATTACAATGTAAATAAAGCCTGATATAGAATATGCGTTATAATCTCAGTCCTTATTGAAAGCCAAGTGTATAATATCACGTGAACAACTTTATGAGAAGCATTCCATAAGTATTGATCAAATATTTGTCAAGATTATCGCGCTTGAAGGACAAAAGGATTAAGAGAAAAATTTAAGACTGGCGTAACGACGGGGGATACTTTCCCGAGGTGAATGCCGCACGATTTTTAAAATGCTCATTTAAAATGCATAGTCTAATCGAAACATTTGCGAGGTAACTTTTTGAGCTGACCACCGATGATTGATGCCCGAAGCTCGGAGACAAGCATGTTCACCGGACCATGAAAGATCCCCGGCGACGAGAGATCGCGCGAGAGACCGAATCGACGAGCATCCGGCAAGCTCGTCGCAAATCGGCCGGGCCTTCTGCTTCATTTAACGTGAATTTAAAGCCGGTCCATTGTGCGCGTGTCACCTCATCAGACTTTCCAAAGGGATGTCGTGTCACGGCGTGAATTCGTTCTATAAACTGATGGGAAAAATCAAAGAGAGACGATAAGAGCGAGAGTGTATAGAAAATCGAATCTCATCTGATTTTTCCCTAATCCATCACGAGGATCTCTTATATCATCTTAATAAACATTCGACGTTTTGACATAATATAATAAATATTCGCGTCAGCGTAATAAAGAATTTTATATAATACAAAAAAAAAACCATATATACCAATATGCGATTATGCGTTTTATTTTCGTTTAATTTTATTTCTATATTTCCCTTCGTTCATTCGTGCATTCGATTATTCAAACGGTGGACTTACAGAATGCACGTGCAATTATTTCTGCAGGAAATAAAGCCGCTTCATATTCGACATGGTCGCAATAAGATGCTTTCAAACATTTGCTTTGAAAACATGGATTTATCAATGTCCAATTCAATTACATATTACAAGCCCGTATTTTACTGATGTTGTTACGCTACCGGTAATGCACCGTTATGTTCTTTCTATCAGGAATTTAGTAATAAATTAGTTATCTATTATACATGTTGCAAATGCATATTCCTGTGTATTAAATTTACATTACGGGTATTGAAAGGAATTTTGCAGTCAAAGTAAATTTGAAACTGGGAAGTTAAGGTACCCAGCATTTCCGTATGAAATCACTGACACGTATTTTTGTGAAGCTACCGATATTCGTTCGTTGCGTCATTCATTCACATTGTCATGGAGTACATCTAAAATTTTAATATTGTTATATTTGATTTCATTTGATACGTCATATAAGACATTTTAATTTAACCGTTTTAATTTAAAATAAAATTCAAGCGCAACTACTATTTCCTCGTACGGTTCTATCTCGTCCCGTCACTTTTTGGGAAGTCGCAAAAGATTTCGCTTGCTCATTTCAGCATGACGGCAAGCAGAGAAAGCGCATAAAATGCAATAATGTGTAATTTTTGTTAAACCTGATGAAGGAGATCGTAACACTCTCGTTTCTTTCTTACCTCTTTTATGCATTTTACGATTTCCTTCCTTTATTTCTCTGTATTATATACGACAATAGAAGATATAACATACACGTATTTTTATTCATGTATCCTTTTTTGCCATTACTGGCAATCATTTTTCATATTTGCGGGTCAAAAATTCTGCTCGGCGAAATCAATAAGAAACTTTCTTTTTTTGGAGAGGAATGTCTAATATCCCCTGAGGCACTCACCGCCTTGAGTGACGGATAAGACAACGTAAGCCGTAAGGGAAACGAGAGCTAAAGCAAACGAATGAAGCAGTGTTTTGTTGTCGACAGAAATAATGCGATAATTATCGGATACTTGATAGCTATCAGGCCATAATTCACGCTACATGATAATGAAAAAATAGACCATCAACCTTTCTTGCATGAAAATTGCAGGATCAGTTGCGAATGAGAATAGCATAGAGATGTATAATAAAAAAAGCACTCTCGAGCTAGTATGTAAATATTGTAAACAGATTAAATGTCGTTCTCGGAATATGCAAAAAAAAAAATGTATCGAGAAATTCTACAAAAAAAAACCAGAAAAATTTTATTGTTTCGAAGAAAAAGTACTCGCGAAATTCGCAACTATTCATTTTCCAAAGAACAATCAATTATGAAGGACATTGTTTAAAAATAAAATTGACTTGGAGTTCTTTGAAGTAATTTAATTTAATTTGTAAATTGTAAAGAAATTTAGAATTTATTTGTTTATTTATTATAAGTTAATTTTGAGACATAATTTTATATTATTCATAATTTAACTAACTTGTGAAAACGATCTATGAAAATAAGAATGTATGTGTAAAATTTGTCACAAGTGTAAAGTTAGCGAAAATAGAGATTCGAAAAAAAGAATTGTAACTACATTAAAAGAAAGAAGAAACGAGAAAAGCACCTGTTGCAACATTAAATGGTTTCTCAGCTTCAAGTACGTCATCAGGAAACTTTTCGATTTTTTTTTCACCCTCGTGAAAGTACTTTTTGTGCACAGGATGAGAAACCGTTATAAATAAATATATTTATTTTTATTATCAAAGGTTATATAACTAAGTAGAAGAAATATATTTTTATTGATTAGTACGACTACAATTATTGTAATTCGTGATGTTATTAATACTGTACAATAAAAAGAAATTTTTAAATTTATTACTAAATATTTTCTTTAATGTATATATGGAATTATAAAATTCGGGATATGAAATCTTCATCAACATTTTCGTACATTGGCAATTACAATGTAACAGCACCGTAGATAAGTTGGATCGAGTTGCGGCAACGTTCATTACTTCTCTCGGACACTGCTTTTCCCTTGATGGAATCGCTATTTTAATCTTACGAGACTTTAACTCGAAACTCAACGAGAATTAAACATCGCAGACTGCTGTGTGGATTCCGCAAACTTTTATTTGTTTAATGAATTGCCATTTAGTCGCGCTTACAATATACAATATACAATATAGTGAATATTACACGAGCAGCACGAATAACGAAACATTTCACATTTTATTTTCTTGCAAAGTTTAATATTGCGTCTAAATTCATAATGGAAATAAATTATATTATTTCCTTGACAGCTAAGGGCTTTTTATAAACCTTCGCAATTTTTATCTACATTTGCACGGTCTCGTGCCTGCCCTCTAGATCCGTTTAAGCCTCCCCCAAAAGCACAGCGTGACCAAGTGAGATGAAGGAGGAATCCGTAATCCATCGGATTTCACCATCAAATATTGAACGGGTCTGCCCGTAGAGGATTTCGGTTTTAGCGATCTGTAACGATGTCGCGACATCCAATCACGCTAGATTCCTCGTTCCTTTTTGATTCCATTGCGGCCGTTAAATATTTGTCCGAGCTGTGTCGGTGTCACGTGTACATTGACGTTGCATACTCATAATAATGCAAAACTGAGTTTACTTTTAAATTAATGGAAACACATATTGATAACATAAACATGATAATTGTGACCGACATAAAATTGGCATACTTTTTTTTTTTCATTATTTTAACAAGTTTTTTTTCAACTAACCATTATTTTATCTCGTGCATCTCGAATAAAATGTTACTCATGGGAAAAAGGACGTGAAAATAAAAGTACCTATAGTTTTTCTAGATTTAATGCTGAGATTCGGTCCAATATCGGTGAGAATACTTTGCAAAGAAATAAGATACACGCTACGCGCGACTGTCGGAATCCGTGTCGTAAAATCGGCGACAGACACCTCTACGAGTAGAAGCTACTCCTCCTACTTCAGTGGCATTTATTCCCCGCCAGTCGTAAATAACTCTTTATTTTATTTTTACATGGTAGAATTCCATTTGCGTGCATCTGCGTCCTAGAGGACCCATAAAATCTTGTGCGGAGTGTTGCATTAACGCGCTTTTATGTTCTGTTGAAATACAACAATTCCTCAACATAAAAATATTTATTTATACAAATAAAACAAACATTATAATGCAAATAAAACATTCGTTGATGTCGTGCAAAAAGATTACTATTTTAACATTAAGTTTTAAATTTGCAACATTTCTCAGTTTAATTATACACTTTGCCATTATGTTATTGCGCTTAAAAATGGATATTTAAAACGTCCACGTTTTCAACATTTTTTAAAATTATGTTATCCTTTTATAGATTGAGAAATTGCAGGATAGACGCAATCAAAATATAATTAAATAAAAAGTTTTAAATTAGTTTTCTCTTGCAATTTTCGACAAAGACGCGAATTTTACGCGCGTGAATTTGAAAACTCAATCTCGGATTATCACAAAACTTTTTGTATGACATCGTTAATAGGATAAAAAAAATTCTGTTCCTTTAATCGACCTGGCAGTCGATTACAATTCCGTGTGACCTTTGTACTTTCAGATTACAACAAGCATCATGGGGTCAAGAACGAGTTTAATTAGTATGCGAATCATCATGTTCTACCTGTTGAGCGTCGTTGGACGATCAACATCGGCGATAGAAGAGGCGTCTTCCTCGTCATTACATATTCCACGATTGCATCCCTTACTGAATAATCTGGAATACGAGGAACCTCCTGAGAAAAAGGCTTACATCGCTGAATATAAGAGACTACCCTTTTATAATTTTGGCATCGGAAAGCGATGGATCGATAATAATGAGAACAAAGTGAGTTTCCGCGTAAAATATTTATTTCTTTATAGAATAATGTAATGCAGATAATAAATAACACAACAATAAAAAGTTTCTTTTATAAATTTATATAAATTTTTACTACATTACTTTATTTCTTTATACGTATATTATAACAACGAAAATAATGCATAAAGGAAAGTTCGACTTTTGTACTTTAGGTAAACTCAGAATTTACTTCTTATATAATTATGTTTTTATGTGTTTAAAATTTTATTCGCAGAAGTCTCGACAGTTTTCCTTTGGTATCGGCAAGCGGCTCCGGGACTACAGTTTCGGTATAGGAAAGCGCAACAATGGATACCGTCCCTTGAGCTTGGACTACTTTCCGGCCGACAACATGGAGGGCTATCATTCTCGCGAGGATAACTCGAACGACTTTATGGAGGACAAGCGCGGTGGTCAGCGTTTCGGCTTCGGCATCGGGAAACGAGCCTGGAGATTGGCGGCTGAAGAAACGGCCATACCCGGAAGAAGACTGAACGATGCCATTGGCCCAAGATATTTGCTCAGTTTGAGCAAAGAATTGGATGAGGATGAGGATTTAATTCAGTAAAGCCTTCTCGTTGAGGAGCACGAATGATTATCTTCCCCATTCGCTTTAACCCCTGGACGATCGCGGGAGAAAAAAAGGTTTTATTTATTTTCAAAAATATTGTAGTGGAACGTAACAACAATGGAAGATAATTGAAAACAGCTGTGTAACTTATTAATTTCTTTATATTTTGGATGTATATGTATATCGGATTCTAATAATAATAATATAGATCTATTATAAACGGTATTGGTATATTGTAAAAATAAATAATTCCTTAACACATTTACTAATAAGATTAACGAATAAATAATAAAATAATAGATCGTTCTATTTTGTTGATAAATAATAAATTCGCGATTGTTAAATTAAATTCATTAAAATTAGACACACATAAAACTCAGTTTTTTTAATATATCTATTTTCACATTACGTTGTATACTTTTGGATTTTTTATTTAAACGTTGAGAATGAAATGGATTGTCCATGGAAGTTAAGAGCGACAAAAAATTTCTCTCTTTTTTTTTAAAACGAGCTATAAAATTCGTGCGCCATCGACAGATCCTTCTCCACTTGTAAATGTTTAAAATGCGATACAGGTATTTTAACAAAAAAATATATTTAACGTAGAAAGTTCTATTAATTTTTTTTAAACAAAACTGTCGGACTTGTTTTTCCATTTATTCGTAAATAAAGAAAGAGAACAAACTATTTCTCTCAGCAAATGAATCTATCTATGTGTCATTACAAAATCTTGATATTATTTAGCGCTTATATCAAAGAAAAAATTTAATTATACTTTTTTTTAATGATTTCTCACTATTATAGATTCTAACAATACTATCGATAAAAGTTAGATAAAAAATCATTAAGTTAATTGCATTTTTGTATTACAATGAATTACATTTGTAATTTAGCAAACTATTAATCGCAATTTATTGTATGATAGATAGGAACAATATCTTGATGTGCTAAAAAGTCCATATCCACTTGTAACTGCGGCAGTGTTTGTCTTTATTGTTCGACGATTATATTTCTAATCGTTATAGAAGAAATGAAGCTATTACATAACTGTACCTATGTTCTAAATGTCATAATAAATCTTGTAATCTTCTTTTCGTCATTTATATGGCGTATGTGAGCATATCTTTCACACCATTTCATTTAGGTACAACAGCTAAATGAGAATTTTGTTAACAATAAAAATTTGACATTTTCACGCGTGACACAGTGATGTAAATTTATTCTATCAGGTATACCATTATACAATAATAAATAAATGCAAATACATTGATATGTTTAATATAGATTACAAAAATTCAGCTTTCCATGTTTTCCGTGCTTAGAATAAATAATTGTTAATAAAGACCGGAGATATTCAAGATATAAGTTTATTTTTTATTTTTACAATTTAGATATGTTTGCTTATATGAGCTTAAATAAATATATTTATGATATATACTAATAACTAACTTTTCAATCGACGATGATATTAATTATATATTGATCTGATTTAAATTGTTTTTAACATGAATTAATAATTATGCGATAGAGACTTTGATTCCAATAAAGCACAGCTTATAACTGTAATCGCGATAAATAACGCTGAAAGCCAGACTGTCATAAATCAGACACGCCCCCGTTCAGCTTCATTCAGTCATACAGAAGCTTTCAGTCGTTGAGATTCTCAATCGCGTTTAGTTTCCCTTTTCTGTTTCTTATTTTCGTGATTTAAAAAATTTTTATTGATAAAAAGATGTCTAAATTTGCTGTGTCGTTCCCATGATCCCTCGTTCTTGCCCAGCAAGCATTAATCAAAGAGCGATCCGTTACGTCTCATATCGATATCTCTTCTCGATTGACTGACTGAAAACATGTTCGCCTCTTTCGTGCCGTATTGCAAAATCGTACTGTGCGTTATCCTAATATCGAGGTGTTCGGCCATTTTCGAGAAACACTGGCTTCCGGATTTGGAGTGGCGAACTGCGAGCAATTGGGCGGACAATCGTGTCCCAGAAACCGACAGTCGTGTGATCTTTCCTCAACAGACTCGACATGCGGTGGGCATCGCCGGGGTTGGCGACCTTCGGCTGTCCGAAATTGATTTGCCCAGACAGGGATTGCTGGTTCTGCCGAGAAACGGTAAACTGCAGGTAAGGATGACCTATAATAAATTTATGAGGAACGTAAATGTAGTTGTTAAAAAATAAACGCAAACTAGAGGTGGAGAACACGATGTATTTTTGTACTTTTTTTTTTCTCTTTTGAATTTGATATATTCGCAGATGGATATCATTTACGTAACAGTGGCCGCTTCGGTGGTACACTCACGATAATTAGAACATTAATGTTTTAATGTTGACGCGTCGTTTGCTCTCCGATTGATTGGAAAATCTAGCTTGTCAGAATATTTATCAGCAATAAACATCATAAAGTGCTAAAATTCACGTGTAACTCAAACGATATCAAACCCAATTTAAAATTTAACGAGGTATTTTCATATTCCCTTTTCTACATTTATTTTCTAATAATAAAATTATTATATAAATTCTTAATTTTTAATAATTTTGTATTACGTGTGTAAGCTAAGTAATTCGCGGGCGGACGCGAAAGTTAGTAAATGGTCGAAGGAGGGTAGCATTTTCTGGGCCGATCCCGCAAATTGGAACGGTAGTTCGATAGCGGCACCGCATCTCGAGCGTGTTCCCTGCAAGAAGGACAAGGTTGTCCTGCCGAGCGAAAATCGCACTCTGAGTATCCTTCTACCTGTGACCGAGGTACAAGTGTGGTCGATTCGGCTGTCGAACGAAAAAGAGCCATTTACCAGGTGGGAATGGCAGAACTTTCAAGACCGTAGAGAATTTCTCAGGGACAGATTCACCGTAAAGTAAGTCGAAGCGACGATGTTTTCTAACATTTCCGTTAATCCCTTCGCGTCGAAAAATATTTTACGAAAAATGATCTCTTTAGGTACAACAATATGTACGTGTCTATGGCCGATACTTTGGTACCTTTCTGTCAAGGAGATTCTATCACGGATAGTAATTATCTCGAAGAGATCTGCGCCATTCAGAGACCAAGATGTGGATTCACGGACTGCGAGTATCCTCTCACGGTTAGACACTATGATATTCCAGATATTAATTAATTTATTAATAAACTTATTATTGAACTTATTATTAAAAATATTCTGAATTATGAAAATATTATATTGCGAATTATTATTTAATTATTCCTATAACGAATTATATATTATTATATATTTATTTATTATTATAATTACATATTATTATATATTATATATATATTATATATTTTCGTTATATCATAAAATGCCATTGATTTATTTTGAGCTTTAGGTGGAAGGTCACTGTTGTCCGTACTGTGGCGGACGCGTTTCCACACAGCAGCAAATTGCATCCTTAGCGACAGTACAAACCGTGGCAGATGAAGCTTTAGAAGGATACGCGGAAAGGGTCGCCTGGCATATTAGGCGCACTTGGAAAAGAGGCTTCGAAGTTCTCGTAAAAGAAAAAGGAGATTATTCCGGGATCACGACACAGGAAGCAGTGGAGAACTTGCGGAAAATGTTGGAAAGTTAGTACACTTATAATTATAATTTAGTTAGTTATACTTAATTATAATTTTTGCTTTTCAATTTCCGCTTTTTATATCAATGAATTTATTTGCTTATGTTTCAAGGGAGACTCGGACGACAATAATTTTCCGACAATTTATAAAGCAATCTTATCGCGTAAATAATTCCTTGCAGTTAGGCGGCATACACGTAAGCTGAAGATGTGTGAAGCTACATATAAATAACGATAAAATTCTTTAATTTGTTCTCTTTTTATTGTTTTATCGATCTCGATATTGATTGACGTTGACGCCCACAAATATTGACGCTCGTTTTTTAAATTCAATTCTATAATTGGACCGCGTTAGACATTGTCCAGCAATATTTCTCTTTCATTCATTTATCGACATATAATTTATTTATTTGCCATAAAAAAATTTAGTTATATACTTTATATTATCTCTATATAAATTTAAACATATTGCTTTTTTAAAATTTGAAACATAATTTAGAAAGCATCGTAAAAATATGCATTATATAAATAAATTTTATTCTTCTTATTTAAAAAGTAGATTTTACTTGATATTATCCGGTCCGTATTGCTTTAAATAAAGCCTAAAAAATAATAAACAAATACTCTCTCTTGGACAAACTGCTTTCTTATATATTTTATTAGACGCGGGAATTATCATATCAAATGCGGAGACGGCGGGTGCTGCAATGAAAGATTCTCGATTGGCCGTAACACTTGGACCACTTTTCGGGGCGCCCCTTGTTGTGATCGCCCTTTTCCTGTTGGCTTTTCTGTACTTCGGTTATTCTTTGGGATAGTAAGTATCACATCGTGCCATATTTATTCTCGCGCCCCTCCGCTACGAGCCCTTACTGAAATGAATCGATCCGACAAAATTACAAGCTGTTGCGCTCGCATTACACTAAATTTAATATCAATATGTTTAACACGTCGGTTATATCGCGTGACGCCATACGGCGGCACGCTCAGCTACTAGAAATAGTAGTCCAAAAGGCCGCTCCGGCATTCGCCGCCGTAGCATTTGTGTTCGAGATTTGCATACCCGGCACTGCTCGAACGAAATACTGCCTCGTGCTCGGCATTCTCAATTCGCTCGTAGTATGCGAGCGAACTGTGTCGACCTATGTCCAACGGGATTAAGAATGCGTTTCTACACACAGAGAAGACGAAAAGTTAAAAAAAAAAAAAAAAAAACGAAAAGAGACGAGATACTTTCGCGCTCGTCGGGCGGAAATGTCAGAGGCGAGGTCGCGAGCCAGTTCATTTGTATTACCGGCTGCATCAATGTTATTATTAAGATCAGCGAAATTGGAAAAGGAAACTTTTCTGAGTCTTTCAAAGCGAAACTGTTACGTTTCGTGCGCGGCGCACCTTCGACATCCGTGCAAACACTACTTGTCGCATGGTCACGGGAGTGTAATAATAAGCGCGCCGACGGAAGCGTGACAAGAAAATGAATAAGGAAAATAACATTTTCCCCTTTCGGATGGTACCAAGAGCGCCAGGGTGGGCGCGCGTAAACGATCACGGCGCGGCGGTCACGCGGAAAATTCCTGATGGGAAAATTTCTGATTTAGTTCGATCGAAGATTCGCAGCCGCCCCTCTCGCATCCGGCGGATGTGTCCCATCGACGATTTTTGGTGGCACATCGGTAAAAAAAAAAATATGGGAAAAGCAATTACACGGATTACCGGTTATACGCACGTGAACAGATGAGCATCATGTCATCGCTCGATTTCCGGTTCAGAGAATGCTTAGAGAGCATGATATTGTATTTTTCTTTTTTTTTTTCAGAAAGATTTCAGATTTCAGTATGTGCTTAAAAAAAAGTTTGTGCTATTTTTGTGTTTAAAAAATTCTCCAGTTGATTTATTTGTCGGACGGAAATGGCGTGATTTTACATTGCCTATTATTGCCTATTATATACTAATCAATTGAAGAATAAATGCGTAAATAATAATAGATTTGTTATCGGATCCATTTCTCACGTAAATTTTTAAAGTAACCGTTTAGATTTAATAATTTTTAAAATTCAGCTTGCACAACAGTGAAATACGAAGAGCGACATTTTAAGGAGACAAAAAGACGATAGTTGATGAAGACAGGAAGATTGCTTGCAACTTCAT